GCTGGGCGTGGTGCTCTTCACCATGCTCTATGGCCAGTTCCCCTTCTACGACAGCATACCTCAGGAGCTCTTCCGCAAAATCAAGGCTGCCGAGTACACCATCCCCGAGTGAGTACAGCCTGTCCCTGGCCAGGGAATCAGCCTGGTGCTGATTCCTGGGGTCAGAGCAGTAGTGGCTCCTGTGCTCCTGCTCCCTGCTTGAGCATCCTGCTGCTGATTGCCCACCTCGGATGCATGGCCTCACTGTGCGTTCTCTCTCCCAGGGATGGGCGGGTCTCAGAAAACACTGTGTGCTTGATCCGAAAACTGCTGGTCCTGGATCCACAGCAGCGTCTGACAGCGTCTGAAGTGCTGGATTCTCTCAGCTCCATCATAGCATCGTGGTACGTTCGACAGGAGCGAGGCAGGAGCGTGGCATCTCCAGCTACGAGCTGTGTTAGTGTAGCTTCCAGCCACGGGGCACCAGAGGGTGATCTCTGAGAACTGCAACAAGTCTAAAAGTGTCTGAGCCACTGGTGTCTGCTGGTGGACAGCATGGTCAGTGTGGATGCTTATTGCTGCCACAGAGGTTGCATTCTTAAAGCAATAAAATTACGAAACAGTGCTGGGTACCGGAGGGAAAGGAGCAGCAAAGGCCCTCCCTTGCCCCAGATTTGATTTTTTTTTTAAGTCTAATTGTTGCAAATATTATACCTGTACATTCACATGTGGCCAAATACAGACACTTCCTACCAGCTTGTAATTAGACTTATGCTATTAAATAAAATCAGGCATGAGATCTCTAGAGGGGAAGAGCAGGAGACCCTAATGCAGGGGTGTGCTGCAGTTGCAGGGTGGAGATGCCTTTTAAGGGTAGATCTGATGCCAGGACTGGCACATCCAACAGCTGGGGTGAGATTCCAGTAGCACACCCCAGCAGAAATGGATCCTGGCAGTGTGTGATCTGTGCAGCCCTCTCATCAGCCCCGTGACCTTCTGTCTGTGCTGCCTGCTGAGCCAGCTGTGCAGGCTGTGCTTTTTGGAGCTGTGGCTGCTTTCTCTCCCACCCGTATTAGCTCCGCATCCTGTTTCAAAACAAAAAGCAAGACTTTGGGGACGACGAGGTGATTTCATGTGGATCCCCTAACGCTGCGCTCTCCCCGCAGGCAGTCCATGTCCTCGCTGAGCGGCCCCTTGCAGGTGGTGCCAGACATCGACGACCAAGTGGCTAACCCCGAAAACCCCCAGGAGGTAGGTGCAGGAGGGCTGCCCCTGGTGCTGGGGCTGCGGTTTTGTGGTGATGCTTTTTTCGGGCTGGTGGTGCTTGGTGCGCTTCCCTGGGCTGCCTCTCCTGCTGGCCCAGCAGCCCTCAGCACCTGCATGCCCCAAGCTTCTTTTCCACGTCCCTGTGCCACATTTCCTCCAAGAATTCCCACCCCTCGTGGCCTCCAGCCTGCTGAGCTGCATGGCAACGAGCTCGCTGGCCCTGGGAGCTCTCCTCGAGCGGTGCCTGCTTGTGTGCAGCTGGGAGCTGGCTCAGGCTCCCTGCTGTGCTCTGCATCCTGCTCTCTTGCTGCTGTTTGTCCTGTTGGGAGCAGTGGTGACCTCGCCAGCTCGTTACCCTCAGCTCATTATCCTCCCGTGGCTCAGGCCAGTCGGAGGCAGGGGCTGCTCTGGCCGTGGCTCTGACGAGGCGGCTCTCCCGCAGGTGAAGGTGACGGAGGAGTGCTCGCAGTACGAGTTCGAGAACTACATGAGGCAGCAGCTGCTCCTGGCGGAGGAGAAGAACACCTTGCACGAGGCCAAGAGCTTCCTGCAGAAGCGGCAGTTTGGGAACATCCCCCCCGTGCGCCGCCTGGGCCACGACGCCCAGCCCATGAACCCGCTGGACGCGGCGATCCTGGCGCAGAGGTACCTCCGCAAGTAGCTGCCCACGCCTCCGAGAGCACAACGCCCGCCCTGCAGCCCGCCTTTCACGTCGCCTACCACAGCTCAACAGCAATACCGGTGTCCCGCGATGGAGAATAATGTAGCAATTCTTCTGAGCTCTGTTCGGGGGCACGAATCGCTCTGGAGGGAGAAGACTCGTTTGGTTTTTGTTTTTTGTTGTTTTTTTTTCAAAAGCTAGTTTTGGAAGCAGCAGCCTCTTGGCATCTTCTGGAATCTGTTTTTTAAATCGAAGCCTAGATGACTAATCTGCTTTTAATCATGACTGTAATCTACCTCTCTTGTCTTTTTAACCATGCTGTTCTCTGGATCGAGCAAAGCCTGGGGGAAAGGAGAAGACTCACCAAGGGTGAAGCTGGCTTGCTGGCACAAGAGTTGCGGCCGTGTAGCATGGAGAGCCGGCTGACGGCGTTCGCTCCGTATGGTTTGAATAAGCTTAGATTTATCCGGGTTTCTTGAAAGCAAGGATTTCTTGAAGCCTCCCACTTCCTTTCGTCTGCATCAACCCTTTCCTTGGGCTGCCCGTGCCCCCTGCTCTGGTGCAGCCTCACGCTCGGTGGCCTTGTGAGGGCTGCAGCACCGCGGGCGGCGCGGCGCGACCCGCGGCACGGGACGGGACTCGTCCTTGCAGGCGATGGCTGCAAAGACCAAATCGTGCCTGCAGTCGTTCCAAGGTTGTGCAGAACTTGGCCCGGCTTGGCCTTTGACCTCTTTCCTCCCTTTCACTGATTCTTTTAGTTCCGTAAGAATATATGATTTAATCTTATTATTATTTTTTTCCAGTAGCTTACCTAAGGTGCAGTTAAAATTGCATTAATTCTGAGTTAGCATTTTTCACACTTCAGTTGTGGTACAGATATAATATATGAGTTACAATGTGAAAAAAAAAAAGCTTCCCAAAATAATCCGCCTAGAGTTAGCAAGGGGCTGGCTGAAGTCTCTACTGTATTTGTTCCCTCGCTTATCTTGCCACCCGGCCCCGCCACCGCCCCGCGCGGTGCCGAGGCTGCCGAAGGACGCCCCGGGCCCCCTCCCCAGGGCCGTGCTGAGAACGGGAGCGGTCGTTTCTGAGCCTCACTCTGTGAACTGGATGCCTGTCTTGCCAGATGACCCGTTCTCGCACAGCTCCTGGTGCCCCCCGGGGGCTCCTGCTCGGCGCTGGGCTCTCCGCCTGCCTCCCCCTCTCCCTTTTGGTCCCCTTTGGCACCAGGGAAGGGGCGAGCAGGGGCAGGGGGGCTTCTGCGGCCTGTGGCTGTAGGTGCTGGCTCCCTTTTGGGGCTGGCACTGCTCCCAAAGCCCTGGGGGCTGTCTTTATTCCCCCTGCCCCGCAGGGAGCGAGCAGTGTAGCGCGTTGTTGCCTTCTCTTGCCCCAGGCAGGCTCCCCGCCTGCATCCCTCCCCTCCGGGGCCGTGGTTCTCCATTTGGGGACCCCGCTCACGGCCACGGGGCCTGACCCAACCTCGGGGCAGCACCGGGCATTACCTCCTGCCTCCCCCTCGGCCCCAGCACGCTGGCAGAGCAGGCAGGTGACTTGTGAACACTAACACAGACCGCAACGGTTGCGCCACCCCCAGCCAGCTGAGCCAGTAGCTTCAAGTCTTAGCCTTATTTATTGCCAGGATGGTCAACCCGTCCCTTGCCCCAAACCCAGTGCCACCAGCAGGGCCCCCCCCCGGCCCCAGTTGTGCAGGCTCTGTCTGATTTTTCCCCTCCCCGTCTCTCCCCCACCTCTTTTTTTTTCTTCTGTTTCCCGAAGTTAAAGCAATATTTGGGGACTCTGCGCGGGGCTGAGCGCTCCCGCCCGGCGAATCGCGCTTTGGGTTCAAGCGAACTGGAAAACTCGGGGGGGGGGTCGTGCATGGGGGGCATGAGCGGTGCCGGGGGGAGCGGTGCGTGACACGCGGTAGAAAAGGTTCCTATTGTAAGGAAAAAAAAAAAAAAAAAGAAAAAGGACAAAAAAAAAAAAGTTTGTATAAAGACGTTATTTTTGTACTGCATCCAAGCTCCTCCTGCATGTCGGCAATAAAACTTGGTTCCGAGACCCAGGCGCGCAGCGACCCCGCGGGGACGGGGCTGGGGGGGCTCGGGGGGGGCTGCGGTGCTCGCGGGGACGCGCAGGGGGCGCTGCGGGGGCGCGCGGAGCTGCCCTGGGCGGCCCCATAGCGCCCCACATCGCCCTGCATCGCCCAAAACCGCCCTTTATTGCCCAAAACAGACCTTTATTGCCCCAAATCGCCCAGCGTTTCCCCACGTTGCCCGAAGTAGCCCTGTATTGCCCCAAATCGCCCTCCTGCGCCCCAAATCGTCCTGCACTGCCCTAAATCACCTTGAATAGCCCCACATCGCCCTGTATTGCCCCAAATCGCTCTACACATTGCCCAAAATCACCCTGCATTGCCCCAAATAGTCTGGCTTTGCCCCATATCACCCTGCATTGCCCCAAATTGTCCTGTGTTGCCCTGGCAGAGCTCAGGATCATGCCCCCCAGCTCCCCGCATGGTGCTGAGCCCCTGGGGCTGATCCCAGCGCCCTGGCAGAGCCCGGCCCTGCCCACAGCGTGTATGGGGCCGTGGGGTGCGGGACCTCAAGCTGGAACCCACCGAGGTGGGACCGGGCCCCATCCCCACACCCTTTTCTTTGCCCCATGCTGCCGGAGCACCCCGTGGTGTTGGAGCACCCCATGGCAGTGGGGCTGAGGTGCCCACATCTGCTCCCTACACGTCCCCACAACCCCGGGGGGGCCCAAATTCAGGGCAGGATCCCATCCCACTCCCCCCTGAGACCGGGGGCTGCCCCATGAGCGTGTCCCAGTGCGGCCGCGGCGCCTTCGCCCTTCCGAGGCTCAGCCTCTGCGCGCCTGGACCCCGGCACCGCCAGCCCGGCGAGGCTCAGGCCCTGTCCTTATCTTTGTCCTTATCTTTATCCTGCCGGATGGGTGCTGAGCACGGCCAGGACAGGCCCTGCAGCAGACGGGGTCCAACGCAGCCCACCCACAGCTCACCCCCCCTTTGCTCCGGGCCGTCCCGGGGGAGCGGGCGAGCCTCGGCCCCGCGCCCCGCTCGGCGTTGGGACGGGGCTGCCATTGGCTCCGGCGGGGAGCGCTGACCGCCAGCCTCCTGCGAACGATTTCCTGTTGTTAATGCTAAACAGACCTTTCCCTCTCTTCCCTCGCTCCAGTCAAAGTGCAGCAGGCTCCCACCGCCGCCCGCCGTCCTGGTGAGTACCGGCCCCACGGCTTGGGGAGCGGGGACGAAGGGGTCTCGGGGTGGCACCCAAGGGGTCCCCGCACCCCGTGTCCACCCCGTGCTGATGGCCACAGTGGGGTGACACCGCTCTGAGCTGTCCCCTGCCCAGGGTGCGCTGGTGTTGTGGCCAGGGACGCGGGGTTTGAGGGCAGAAGACTTGCTCCGGGCACCTGGCTTGGTGCTTGGGGACACCAGGCTTGGGGACATGGGGTTTGGGGCTTGGGGACGCGGAGCTTGGGGGGTCACAGGGCTGAGGGATGCCGGGCTCCGTGCCTGGGGACTCGGGGCTTGGGGACGCACGGTTCGAAGCCGCTCGGCTCCATCCATGCTTGGGGACATCGAGCTCGGCCCTTGGGGACACGGTGCTTGGTGCTTGGGGACGCAGGGCTCGGCGTTTGGGGCTGTGCCTGCGTGTCCGGGGCTGATGCAGCTCCGGTGCCCCGGGAGGGGGTCCAAAGCAGCCCCAGCGGCATCGCAGGAGGGAGCCCAGCACCCGGCCAGCGCCTGTCCCCTGCTCCCAGCGCCCATCCCCAGCCTCACCGCCACCCCAAGCCCACCGCAGCCCCGGACCTGCCCCTCGATGCCCATGGGTGCCCATCCCCTATTTTGGGGTGTCCCCACTGGCAGGGCCGGCCCAGCCCCGCTGCGCATCGAGGCCCCGCAGCACTGGCCTGTCCAGGGACGGTTCTGCTGATGTGTCACATTTTCTGCATTTCTTTCCTCATTCCTCTCTCCGTGGAGACGTTTCTGGGAAATGAGCTCTTCCCTCTGCCAGGGCCCGGGTGCTGCATCCCCTCCCGCCCCGCTCAGCATCACGGGGAGAGTCCTGGGGGGGGGGGGGGGGGACAGGGGCTGGTGCTCGGCCGCTTGGGGCCCTGGGGGTGTCCCTGTCCCCCCACATTTCCCATGGGATCACTGGAGGCTTTTCCCCTCGCAGTGCGGGGCCAGCGCCTGCCCCAGCCCCTCTCTGTGCCCCCCCTGTGCCTCTCACCTGAGCCGTGGCCTTTGCACCACAGCCCTGTCCTTGTCCCCGTGCTGCGGGGGCTGGCCCCGCTCCTGGCCCAGGGCCCCACAGCAAACAGGAGGGGCTGGGAGGGGTGCGGGGTTGGGGGGGGCACTGCCCCATGTCCCCCCAAAACACCACCACGGGGCGAGGAAGCCCTCGGTGCCGTGTCCTGGGGCGGAGGGGGCGGAAAGCCCGGCCCGCTGCAGCAGATCCGCTTGGCTCAGGGTCCTGGGGGCTGTGGGGGGGCCACATCCTGCCCGGCCCCGCAGGAAGAGCAGAGGGCGGCGGGACAGGACGGCTCCGCTGGGGCTCGGCCCTGTCCATACAGCACCCCCAGCCACGAGCCCCTTCCCCTTCCACTCCTCTTTGCTCCCCGTGGTCCCCCCTGAGCCGTGCCCCTGGTGGGGGCTCCAGGACCCCCCCCGGCTCAGCCCCGTGCCCCTGTCCCGCAGATGCCCAGCACGTGCTGCCCGCAGAGCCCCTGAGCGCGGCCGGGCGCCGCGATGGAGAGCCGCAAGCAGGACATGGAGCTGCTGAGCAACAGCATGGCCGCGTATGCACACATCCGAGGTGAGGCCACGCAGCCCCCAGTTTGGGCATGTCCCCAGTGGGGACCCCGGGGCCACCACGGCCCCGTTGAGGTCTGGGGACGTCCCCTCAGCCCCATCGCCTTCCCTCCCTGCAGCCAACCCCGAGAGCTTCGGGCTCTACTTCGTGCTGGGCGTCTGCTTCGGGCTGGTGCTGACCCTGTGCCTGCTGGTGCTGCGCATCTCCTGCCGGCCCCGCGCCCGCCACCCGCCCCGGCCCCGGCCCGACCTCAGCGAGGACGACGACGACGAGGACGATGAAGACGAGGAAGAGGAGGACACCATTGACCGTGCCGCTTCCGAGTCGCTCCTGCCGGTGACCGAGATCCCTCTGGAGAGCCACGGCCCCGGGGACGGCGCGCTGCCCATCAACGTCTTCGCCTCGGCCGAGGAGCTGGAGCGGGCGCAGCGGCTGGAGGAGCGCGAGCGCATCATCCGAGAGATCTGGCGCAACGGGCAGCCCGACATCCTGGGCACCGGCACCGGCACCCTGGGCCGCGTGCACTACTACTGAGCGCGGCGTGGTGAGGCTGGGGGGCACAGGGAGACCCTCGCCCCCTCCCCAGGAACTCAGCCGATGCCGTGCCCTGAGAACCTGCGGCATCACCGGGGGCTGAGAGCGGCGTAGGGCGCAGTTTGGTGCCGGGATTGCGGAGCACAGCGGGGCCGCTGGATGCCCATGGGGTGGAGCAGCTCCTTGGAGCACCCCCAGCACCATTTTCTCGCCCCCCCCCGTCTGCCACCACGCGCAGCCGCTGCGGACACGATGCACTTTGAGCCATTGGTACGACTGCTGGCAAAGGTCAGCAGCCCTGGGACCCTGTGGGGATGGGGACAAGGACGAAAACGAGGACAAGGACAAGGACAGGAACAAGGACAAGGACAGGGACAGGGACAAGGACATGGCAGACCATGCCCGCTGGCCCCACGGTCTCTGCGCTGTCCCCTCGGGCTGTACCCCCGTGCTCTCCGTGGGGTCCTGTCCTTCCCCACCAACACGGTGCTTTTGTCCCCTGCCTCCCGTTCCCTGTCCGGCCCCTGGCTCTCTGCGTTCCCCTCCCGCCGGCCCCGCTCCATTCCCACTAAATTTAGCCGCCGGCCTTTCCGGCACCGCCCGGCCCCTGCCCCAGCGCCGTGCCGGATGTTTCCCAGCTGGGCTCTGGGGGCTCCTCGCGCTCCCCCGGGGCCGTGGCCGCATCCTGCCCACGCTGCAGACCCCGGCCCAGCGCCGTGCAGGGGTGCGGGGCCGGTCCCCGCTGCCCCCCTCCCCGGCAGCTTTATAAAAATAGCTCCTTCCCAGGCCCGTCCCTGCGCCGGCAGCAGGATCCAGATGTTTTCCAGATGTTCTCCAGGCCCCACGCCAGTGGCACGAGGCCAAAATGTGCCGGGGGGCTGGGAAACGGTGTGGGGGCAGCAGATGGAGGAGGAAGAGGAGGAGGCGCTGCCCCAGCCCCGTGGCGCATCCCGGCTCAGCACCCAGGCTGGGGATGAGGCTGGGGGGCTGCGGGGGGCTGCAGGGGGCTGTGGGGAGCTCAGGGGGGCTGAGCCCACCCCAGTCTGGCCACTGGTCTTGGCGCAGCCCAGCCCGTGACTCCTGGCACGTCCGCTCCCAGCACCGGCACATGGCCTTGGCACAGCTCAGGCTGCAGCCGGGATGGCTCTGGGGACCCTCATGGGACCCCCGTGGGACCCCCGTGTGCCACAGCAGGATCAGCCCAGACCCTAAATGGGACCCCCACAGCGCTCCGTACCCAAAATAGTTTATTTTAGCCAGTATTTTTAACAAAGAAGGGGCTGCTGCATGGCCTCAGAGCTGCAGCGAGCGGTGCCCGAGTGCAGGGACCCCTCGTGTCCGTGTCAGCGCAGCCTCACTCCGGGGCTGGGGGTGCTCCTGGGGCTGGGGGTGTTTTGGGGGTCCCCGCTAGCAGGGCAGCGCCTTCCTCACCCGCTCGATCTCCGCCTGCAGGGATGAGATGGGGAGCAGGGGGGTCGGTGGGGCACTGGGGGGGGGTCCTCGTGTCCCACGGCCACAGGGGGCTCACCTGCAGCGCCTCGCGCCTGGCCCGCTCGTGCTGCAGCTCCAGCCTCACGTCCTCCAGGTCCCTCCTGCGAGGCCACGGGGGTGGCTCAGGTGGGGCCGTGCCCAGCAGGGAGCTCCTGGAGACCCTCAGGGACCCTTTTTAGGGTCGGCCGCCCCTCCCCATCGTCCCCGTCCCCACTCACAGGTGCTGGCCTCGCATCAGGTCCACGAGGATGTGCAGGGACCGCACCTCAGCCTTCAGGTCCTCCAGGGCCAGCCGCTGCTCCGGGCTCTGTGCTGCGGGGGGAGAGGGGGGCAGAGCCTGGCGCAGGGCGGCCCCAAACCCCCCCAGGCCATGCTGGGCGGCCGCTGGCCCGGCACCCGGGGGCGCGTGGCCGTGGGGTGGCTCAGCTTGGCCGTGGTCACCTGCAGGGCGCTGAAGCCGTCGGCAGTCTGCGAAAGGGAAGGTGTGAAAGGAGGGCACGGCCCCAGGACCCCGCGCTGGCACCTCCCAGCCTGGCCCTACCTGGGTCTGCGGCTCTGCCCCGCTCCAGTTCAGCCGAGGCGCCGGGCTGGGGGCTGCTGGGCCTGGGGGTGGCAGGGGGCAGTGAGGTGGCACGGCCGTGGGGTGCCCACGGGGAGCTGCTGAGCGTGGGCACGGCTCTGAGCTGGGCACATCAGGGCAGCCCCAAACACCCCGTGGGGTCTGCGTGTGGCTTACTTGCTCGGCAGCCCCAGCGCTGGTTTGGTTTTGGCCGGGACGGGGGGCGCAGGAGCCATCCTCTTGCTCGGGGGCGGCTTGGGCGGCTCCATCCTCGCTGGGGAGAGCAGGGGGTGAGCGGCGGGGCTGGGACCAGTACGGGGAACGGGGTGAGACTGGGTGAGACTGGGGCAGGAAGCGTTTCCTGCAGGGAGCCCCAGCACCGCGCTGCCCGGGCACGGGGACCTGCCCCCAGCGTGGGGGGGTCCTGCCCTGCACAAGGGACCCTGCCCAGCCCTGTCCCTGTCCCCATCCCCGTCTCTGTCCCCTCTCCTCCCCACAGCATCCCCTGCCCAGTTCTCACCCCTGTGCTGCTGCTGGTGGCCAGGCCGGTCCCTCGCTGGCTCAGGCTGCCGGGGGAGCACGGGGGCTCATCGGATGCTGGGGAAGGGTCCCGGTTACCGACCCCTCTCCCAGGGACCCTTGGCTGGTGCAGGACAGGCCCCGTCCCCACTAGGATGTGGTCTCCAGGTGCCACCACATCCCTGGACCCCCCACGTCCCTAAATCCCGTTCCTGCAAGCAACAGGGGCTCGGCCCCATGAGCAGAGCCATGGCTGGAGGCGAGGAGCCATCCAGGGGCAGGATGAGGGGGAGACCCCCCCCCAGGGCACCCCAGGCGCACGCCTCTCCCCGCCACCACCCCGAGGTCTGCCGGGACCAGCAGCGATGCTCAGCGGGACCCGAGCAGCCCCATGGTGGTCCCCGTCCCACCGCATGCCCAGAGCCCCCTGTGCCAACCCAGGGGCAGCCCCAACCCCCCAACCCACCCCAACCCCCCCCCCAGCCCCGCACCCAGCCCCGCTCCCGCTGTGGCTGCGCTCGTGGCGCTTCCTCTGCGCGCCGCAGACCTGCGCCTCCCCCAGGGCGCCGGCACGGGCAGGATGCCTGCCCCACCACCACCACCTACGGGGTGCCAGCACCCCCCCTGCACCCAGCCCAGGGTGGACACGGGGCACCAGGCCACCAGCACGTGCCCATGGGCCACCCCGTCCCCATCACTGGGTCGGTAGCCCTGTGGCCACCGGGTCCCCGCCGCCACCAGCGCATCGCTCGGCTCTGCGGCCTCGTGGGCACGAAAACCACCCCTGGGCTTTGTCCACCCCGAGGCTGCTGCAGCCACAAGCCACGTGCGGGGCCACTGGGATGGGGATGAGGAGCGCCCAGCCCTGATGGCACAGGAGATGCTCTCCAGGCCCCTGGCACCATCGCTCCCAGTGGTGCAGGGCTGGCGGTGCCCAAAGCTGGCACTGGGATGGGCGCAGAGCCGTGGTTTTGCCATCCTACCTGCTGGCACGGGGCTGCCCCCCAGGCCTGTGCCGCTCGGCGCCGTGCCAGGCTCCCCCCGGCCACCCTGGCCCCGCGCCGCGCACGTGACGCTGGAGGAAATCAGGCTCCGCGCGGGGAAGGAAGTCAAAGCGCTGAGCACCGCGGTGCTGGGCCACGCCGCATCCCTGGCACCCTGTGGGGGGCTCCTCCTGCCCCGCTTCTTGCCACCGGCCCCACAGCTGCCACCCCCCTGGCAATGCGGAGATGCCCAGGGCCCCAAATCCACCGTGGCCAGGCTCACGGGATGCCGTGTGCTGGGGTGGCATCGCCTCACCTTGCAGGGGACCCGGGTGACATCTCCCCTCCACAGCGGCAGCTCCAGGGTGTAGGCAACCAGCTCCTGGCAGAGCTGTGGCTCCAGGAGGGGGCTCACCGGGATGCTGCAGCCCCCAGCTCCTCCCCAGGTCCCTGCACCCGCAGCGACCCCCAGCTCCAGGGGGGCAGGAGGGGTGCTGGGCGCTGCGGCTCTTCCTGCAGGAGAAAACCCCGCTGGGGCGCAAGGGATCCCCCAAATGGGGTTGGGGCCAGCCCAGGCAGCACCAAGCCATTTCCAAACCCCCCCAAAGTCCCAGCGTGGAGCCCCCCACCCTCCTGTGGCACCAGGGAGGGCCTGGGCAGCTGCTCCCCAGCGCCGTGACCTCGGTGTTGGGGTGGGGAAGGGACGGGGACCCCGGGGACGCAGCCCTGGGATGGGGTCCCCTGGTGGGAGCTGTGTCCCCGCTCGCTCCCGTGGTGCAGGGAGGGGTCTTGGGGGTCTGAAGCAGCAGGATGGTGTGAGGCAGCCACAGAGAAGTCAGGAAACCATCGTGTGGAAAGGGTTGGGGAGAGGAAGGGAGCAGGAGGTAAAACCACGGGGCTGTCCTGCCCCGGCCCCAGCCCCGTGGGCTCCCCTAACGCTTCCCAGCAGTGCTGGAGGCCAGCTGGAGGGCACCCGGTCACTTTTTTGGGGTTTGGGTGCCGATGTGCAGGCAGGGCTTTGGTCTCCGTCCTGCCCTTCCTGCTGGACACTCGCTGTCCCTGGGGGCAATTCGCCACCGCCCCGGGGAGCTGCTGCCCAGGAGCAGAGGGGATTTTGCCCCAAGCCTCCCACCACCGCACCCCTGCACGCACAGGGGCTCGTTTAGCTGACGAGCAGAAGGAACCAGCTCCATCTGTCACTGCAGACAGAGGATTTGTCCCCCAGCCCAGCAGGGACCTGCCTGCCCCTACCTGAGCTGCCTGTGCCCCCCGCAGCCGACCCGGTCCCACGGTGAGGACAGGAGGCTCCGCGCGCCCCTACAGCACCTCGACGCCTCGCGGCTCTCCCTGTAACTTCAGCAGGGAGGGGGAAGTGAAAGCCAAACCACAGAGGGGCCAAAACCCACAAACCACAAGCGCACGAGGCTCGTGGGCTGGAGCCCCGCTGCGGAGCGCAACGGCCGGAAAGGGGCAGCAGGGCCGAGGGCTCCCCGCTGCTCCCGGCCCCGCCAGGTGAATGCGCCTTTAAAATCCCTTTGAATGGGTAATGCTGAAGGGAAGTGAAAGGAGAGGCTTGTTTGCAGCTGGCCCGAGGAGCAGCACCACGCGGGATGTGTGGTCTCGCCCCTGGGTTTGCCCGGTGAGGCTGGAGGAGCAGTGAACACAGGGCAGCTTCTGTGCGAGTTGGCACAAGGGCTCCATTTCAAGCAGGGAGGGAAACACGAGGCATTAACCCACACCCCTCTGAACACCACACACTGGGAATGCCCCTCCGCAGGGCAGGCAGACCCCTGGACTCCCCCCAGACCCCTAACCATCAACCCACCCCACACAACTTGCCCGAACACAGCGAGCTGTCGCCTTCCTTGGTGACAGCAATAGCAAAACTTCTACAAAATGGCACAGCAAGGAGTGGTTTCGTAAATCAGCAGCTGCCAAGCTTTCAGGGGTTGTGCTGGCATGGAACAGGGGTGGCAGAAGGTGGGATCGTCGGCGAGTTCAGTTTGGGAGGTGGCTGTGGCTGTTACGTGCAGCCCCTGCAGTCAGCTTGTGGCTTTGTAGCTTCATCACTCGCTTCCTTCTCCCACGCCACTTCTGCTAACAGGCGGTGGCTGCTCTGGGGAGAGGGGGCTTGGAAACAAAGCCCTCGGGCTCCTCCCTGCCTCTCCGAGATGGATGTTGGGTGGGCAGATGAGAATCCACTGAGGAAAGAAGGGCGAGAAGTGCAGAGCACAGAGCAGCCCCCACTGCTCTGCGGGGCTGAGGGGCTTCAGCCCCTGCCCTCGTGGCACAGGGAAAAGTCCTCGGGGCCCTTCAGGAAGGAGCTGAGTGCAGTTGGAAGGCAGCAGGAAGGCAGCAGCTTTGTCACAGCCTCCAGAGTCTTGGCCAGGGCTGAGCTGCTTGTTTTGCTGCTCCCAAGGGACAACTAACAGCAGCACACACACAAATTGGCTTTTAGCTACTACCTTAAAAAGCGGGTCAGGCTGATGGCACAAAACACCCACGTGCTGGGTTCCTGCACCTACCAGGGCACAGCCAGGGCCAGGAGCTGGGGGAAGAGCCGTCACCACCAACTCCAGGGATCTGCTCCTGCCCTCGGCTGTTGCAATGAGATTTTCCACTTACTTCCACGTGCAAAGTTCCCTAGCTGGAGAGCTGTATAAAACAGGAACCTCGAGTGTTAGGCTGGGAGTAACTGCTTGCAACTGCTGCTTTTCAGCAGTGGGGCAGCCCCACAGGCCCCAGCCTGAGCTTCCTCTTTCCTTACTGCTGTTCATTAGTGCTGTCTAGGCCAATTTCTCCTCTGGGGACCATGTTTTAAAGCTGCTCTTCCCAGCAACTTCTGCAGCTCCACCCTGAGGCTGGCCAAAGCCCTTCGCTTCTCTCGGCTCCACCAGTTAATTGGGAAGGCAAATGGCTGGTGGCAGAGGGAGCCCCAGACTGAGACCACAAAACAAAGCAGAGTTACACCTACTACTCATTTTATTGTATTTTATTTGCATAAACAAACTCGAGGGGGTTGCTAAACAGGAACTGTTCAAGTCAAAACAAACCAAACTCTAGTTGGTGTGTGTGGGGGGATGAGCACAGCAATCCTGGGGGAGGGAAGGCAGAGGTGGTGAGGACAGGGAGAGGGAGCGGTGTCTTTACAGCACGTGCACACTCAGCGTCGGTGCGTGGACATGCCTCTCCTGCTACCAAGGCTCACTGACCCAGCCACAACTGTCTGCAAACTTCTTCAGAGTACTTCTTTTTCTTTTTTTTTTTGTTTAAAGTAGAAGATAAAAAGAAATGCATGGTAACGGCCATCCTTAGCCAGCACAGGAGGGGTTTGCCTTTTGTTTTTTATAAAAAGATTAATAAAAAATATTGAAAAATTCTCATCTTTCCTTTTATATTTTTTTTTAACCTAGTAGAATTCTGAAGTTTCTTAGAAAACTATGTTACCTTGGAAAGAGCACTCGAGTTCACAACCAGCTGCAAAGAGGATACACAAAATGCCTACAAGCAGTTTGGGGCTCCAGCACACACCAGGCCTAACACTGTACACAAACAGTGATGAAAAGTAGGGTGTAATTTTTTTTTTTTTAAAACCATGCTAATTTCCTTAACTTTCAACATAAAAGGAAAACAATTGGTTTTAAAAGGCCCTAAAACAACTGTTACATAAAAAAAGTTCTTAAAAAAATCATAGCAGTTTGGTCCCAACAAGTTAACATTTAGATGTTTATTCACATGCTTCATTGTTTCTTATTTATAAGAACCAAAAATAGTTTCCAAAAATTATCATTTAATTGATGTTACTACATACGTAAAGGCCTAAAATAAGTAAGTATGAATTTAAAAAATTGAATACACAATAGGGGAGAAAAATTTGAACTGGCGAGTTAATCCCGACCTTTGCTATTTCAAATTATAAAAGAGAAACAAAAAAAGTGTCAAGACTACTGGGTTAAGATGGGCACAAACCGAAATCCACATCGTCTTCAAAGCCTGTTACCAAAAAAAAAAAAATTAACCGACCATTCAATAAGGTCACAGACAAGAGAGAAAATCTAGGATCTCACCCAGTACTTGACCTTATTCAGTCCAGAAGGTAAGTCTTTGGGAAGGAATACTCCATGAGCGGATCCAAGCATATATGATTTATCAGTTCTAGTCCACACTTAGGGAGGCTGAACTCTGAAAATGCAGTTAACTTCGGGATTATTTCCGAGCTCCTCTCTGGGGCTCTGCTCAGCTCTTCAGGCTCGCCCTGACAATCTCCATCACCAGCATGCTGAACCCCTCCACTCCTGCCAGGGCTCCCCGGGAACATGCAGACCGCAGCTACTCAGTCGTTGACTGCAAGTTGTCCTTTTCCTCTCTGTTTTCCGTTCCGCTTTCGTCATCCTCGATTTCTCCTTCTTCACCACTGAATTTGTCATGAGCCCACTTGGGGCTGGTGCTCGACTTCCTGAACATGAAGCGACCTCGTCCTCGGGGGAAGGCACCCCGACCACGGCCTCTGTTCACCCACTTCTCTGCACCTTCGCCCTCCCGGTCATCGTGCTGCACGGGAGAAAAGGCAATGACAGCAGCTGACACAGACTGACTGCTCCCGGTGTGAGAGGAGCAGGATAACACTGCCTGGTGATATCAGCCCTGCAGCACCAACCAGATTTATGCCACAGTGAGTACTGCCCTCTAAACACAAGTACTGGCTTGTTTGGGGGATGAAAACAGCAGATGAAGGCAGGAATGCACAAATGCCACACAGGCTCTCTTTGTGCATGGCAACCCATCACTGCAATTGGTACAGGCTGCTATGAACCATGCTGCTGGGATCAAACTGATCCATTTCTGTACATAAAGTGCAGGCTAGAGACTGGACACCAAAACAAATTACATTTCTACCTTCAACAAGACCAGAAAAAATTAAGTAAGGTAAGATCAAGGCTTTCTTGTTTGAGCTGCA